CCTGCCAATGTAAGCGTACTCATGCTGAAGCTTACCTACGTGTGACACCGTTCAACGGAGGATCCGCTCTGAACAAACATGAACCCAGTTTGTTCAACCTATCTACCCCTCATGTAGTCTACGAGGTCTCTTGTGGCAGCGGAGACGCTTACATTGGCAGGGGGGACAAATAGCTGGCGAAACCCGCGGTAAAACACATTGCAAACTAATCCTGTCAGGACAGCAGACTGTGCAATCGTGATCGTTGATTGTCAGACATCTGTTAGATACTGGTTATCAGATTGACCCAGTCGACTCAGAAACCCCAACTTTGTGGTGATAAGCACAGTGCTAGTGATCATGCCAAATCAGCCTCGATTGTGTGCACAAAAGTAGAGGCAAATCATTCGATTATCCTGACACTGACCACGCAACTTGTAAACATACATCTCATTTTATACAACTCACAAGTTTCACGCGCGCAACGGCAGCACACCTATCAATTCTAATGAAAGTGACATATACATAGCATAACAGTTATAACATGAGAAACCGAATACTACCATAGCATACAGGCTACAACATAGCTTATAAGCAATCTTGTAAACACTTACAGATTAATAAGCTTGCTAGACATGGCCGTACGCGCCGCACTCACTAAACCCTGCTTGCCAAGCTTCGTCACATCCATTTTTAAATGTTCCTGGATGTATTTACAAGCTTCACGGCAAGCCAGTCTGTAGCCATTGATAATGGTTGTAGGGTGTACGAAACGAGAAATTAGCTCATCAGCACCCTTGAGTAGTGCAGCCGCAAGAATAACCACCGAGGTAGTCCCGTCACCAACCTCCTCGTCTTGTAGCTGTGCAAGCTGCACTAAAATCTTGCCTGCTGGATGCTCAACATCCAACAGTTTGAGGATCGTAGCCCCATCGTTGGTGATTGTCACATCGCCCACATCATCCACGAGCATTTTGTCCAACCCAACGGGACCCAAGCTGGACTTGACAATATTCGCAATGGAGCAAGCGGCCAAAACTGAAATAAAAGGACAGCGAAAAACTACTATTCTTTCCTGAATCCCACACAGTTTGTAGGCCTAGTGAACTATGGCCGAAAATTGGACAGACAATGCTTCATGAAAATGTCTTTAAACTAAGTACAAAATAAGTATGAAACTCGAGAAAAGAATCATACAGCTGTGAAACCCGTTTGGTGCCTAACCGTATTGTCAAGACAGTGTGATAAGACGCTGGGTGCTAGCTACTCACGCTTTCTTCCACGACAGCATCACCCAATTCGTAGTAGCACTATATGGTCAGCAACTTTAGTTTTCTGAGCTGATACATGTCAAATGTGGAAAAGTTCATAGTACTTTACGGTGAGGTCGCCTTTTTTCTACACGTGCGTAATGCAAGGGCAGATTCAAGCAAAGACCGTTTTTGTCGACGAAAACCAAATGTGGGCTGCGCAGCACGCCCAGGGATGAATTCTCAAGGGTTAAGCCTTAACGATATGAACGCTAGGAAGTGAGCAAGCACCATAGCTAATGATAAAAATACTCATTCAATCGTAACACCCTTTCGCTGCCTATCTGCCACACCACCCGAAGTAAGCATGCGGGTTGAGAGCCAGCCAGGTTGTCCAAGCCTAGACAGGGGGAGCGGAGATGCCGTAGATGGGTTCGGACAACAAACCATTCCGTCAATAAATCGCGCGTAACTCACTGAACTATTTCGAGCACCCAGTTACCAGCGACCCATGGTGAAGCTAGGAAGTGGTCTACTGCAAAATTCAGAGGGTCCATACAAGATTAGCAAGTTCTCATTGAAGATCCATCAGGGGTGACTAATACAGATTGAGGTATCCTTACGAGGATTTTAATATTAATACTAAATCGGAATCTGGAGTCAAGCTATTGGAACACAGTAGCCATGAGAATACCACGATAAGCACAGACACAAATACACAGCCAGTAGCTGGTCTATTTCAAAACACAGAGTGCTGCTTATCTTTGCGTGGTATAATATAATAGTATATATATATGT